ATTGACGAATCAAAGCAATTAATTTTATTGATTGATCTAAAAAGAAACAAATTCTTAAAAACAAAATTTATAAAATAATTCTACATACGACAATCTCCACAAATACGAAGATTTTTTGTTATTTGAATTCTTCTAATATTTGGATTTTCAATAAAATTCCATGCTATTGCGAGTCTTTCACTATGTCCACAAAGATTTGATTCAATTGTTTCGTTTTCATTCAATCCTCTTGTTATCCAACTTGCGTCATATTGATGACCATATTCAATTAATTCTTTCGAGATTTTTTGAACTTCATCATAGATTTCTTTCGAACGAGGATGAGTTTGATCATGAGCACGAAATTTCTATTTAAGAAAAATTCTTAATGACCATTTTCTTATATAAAATAACTTACAAATATTTTACCATTGATTTCAGTAAAAGAAAGACCACTTATTTTTCTTAAACCTTGTTGATATAATTTATTCCTAATGTTTGATGATTTTTTTATTTCACCGATTGATGCATAAACATTAGAAAGGAGAATTGAAGCTGATATTAAACGATTTTTAAGTTCTGGAAAATTTCCTTTTATACGATTAAAGATTTTTTCTGATAATTCTTTATTTTTTCTATTTCGAGCAGCAGATAATAATGACACTAGAATAAATTATATTAAATAAAAATACACATGACAATATTTCAATAAGATAAACATTAAAAAAGCAATCTATTTAATCAAAATTTCTTCTATGTATTGAAGATATTTCTATAAAAAGAATCTATATAGAAAACTTACTAAGCATAGTTGGTGAAGGTGAATGATCAGATTCATAGTGATCAATTAATTTTAGTGCTTCTTCAAAAAGAGATGAACGACTAAGACAATCAACCTATGAAGAAAAATAAAAACAAAATCAAATATGTTTTCGAAATAAACCATTGTCGTATAAATTTTGTCTGTTTTATTGTTAATATTATTAAATATTGATCGAGCATGATCAACAAGTCCTGCATGTGAACATGCATTTAAAATAGAAACACAAGTTTCTTCTAAAATAAATTCTTCAGGAGTTTTATTGAAAAGTTCAATTGCTTCAATAGCCATTCCATTTAAACCATATGAATTAACTAATTTAATACTTAAAAAAATAGAATTTATTTTAAAAATAAAAGATTTTTTAACAAACTCATTGATGTATATCCAATTGTATCTGGTTTAGTTAATGATTGAAATATATCTTTTGCTTTCTTAATATCACCTGATTTTCCCTATGAAAATATTTTCAAATATAAAACACGAAAAAGTGAATTGTTCTTCTTACCCACATATCAATTAATGCATTTTTAATGAAAATATTCTGAAGAAAACATTTTGGAATTTGTTTATATATTGAATTTGATATTGAAAGAATTCCAATATGAGCAGCTGCATTTATTAAATGAACATAAATAATTGGATCTAATTGAATATTATCATCAATTATCATTTGTTTATATAAATTTAATGTTTTTTCTTCTTGATTATTTTTATTATAAAATTTCATTAAATTTCCATAACTGATAACAGTTTGTTTTATTTTAGGAAAAATCTTTTCAGCATTTGATAAATCATTACATTTAATAAATGCATCAAATGCAGTTGTCAAGATATTTTTATTATTTTGATAAGAATTTGGAAGATTTAATAAGATTTTTTTAACTATATTTAATGTTTCTTCTGTTCCTATTCGAGAACAAGCATTTAATAGAAGAACATAATTTATTTCATCTGGATTCTCAATTTTAAAAAATATCTCAATTGCTTTATTAAGCAATGAATTTTTAATATAACCTATATAAAATTTTAAAATTAGCTTTATTAAATTCTTATCAAAGAATTTTACCTTTCATCATTGCTCCATACATGCCTACTGTTTTATTTTTTGATTTCTTAAATAATTCTTCAGCAACATTTACATTTCCAAATTCCACTAAATAGAAAATAAAATTTAGATTTTATCTCAACAAATAACTAATTAACTAACTGTAAAAATGAATAAGTGATGCTAATATAAAGGAGTTTTTCTCGATACGAGATAAATATCGTTGATGTATATTTAAACCACCTTGAAAATCTTTTCTGTTAGTAAATGATTTTAATACTTGATTAACAGATAAGTCACATAATGTCTCATTTGATTTTTCTTCATATTTAGAAAATAAATCAATTGCTTTTTCGAATTCTTTTTTATCATTTAATTTTTTCATTTCAATACTTAAATTATAATATGATCTTATCATACAGATTTTACATTTTATATCGACATAGATCAATTTCATATAATCCTTTGGAAGTATTTTGAACATCGACAAATTCTTTATTCAATTCAATATTAGAACTATTAAACAAATTATAAAAGTTAACACAATAGATAGAAATATATCTATTCGTTAATAAAACAAACTAATCATCGAAGAAATTATCGAAAAGAGAATCAATAGATGACACTGAGATTATAAATACAATATTTAAAATTTTAGAAAAGATCTAAGGTATGAATAATTATAATTTTCTATTATTAAAATGTTCTCTTTTATTACTCTTTTTCTCCAATCTTATTCTAACGCTAATGTTTTAACATTAGAAAAATCAAAACTATGTTTCCCTTATAAGATATGTTCAACTAATTTAGAGTTTTTTGATAAATATCTTATACTTGATTTATGTTCGTTTAAACGGATTTCTTTCAATCGACTCGTCTCACCTACATATACTTTACTACAATCTTTTCTTATTGGCGCTGCAAATATCATCGATTCTTGACCATAATATTTTATAGTGAAAAAGATTTTTCTTTTACTGTCATCTGTACTCTTGTTATTGTTAGACATTCTATTGAGAAGTATCCTTCCTCTTGAAATGCCTCTTCTTATTATATGTGGTGGATATTCATTGTTCGTTAACGTTTCAATAAATCAATCTCATTATTTATTAACTTATCTATGGAGCAAATTCTGTATATACGTATAACTAAAGTTCTTATTAATCCTAACTTATATCGACGACTCTGATTACTATCCCACAGTATATATAATCCGGTGTATGTCGGTTATCTTCTTTAATTACTTTTACATCAAGGAATACTAACGAATTATCTTCTTCAAATTCTGATGTGAAATGAAAGTTTTTATGCCATTTATTAATTGGAGTGTGAAATTTTAGAATTATTGTTCTAAAAATAGTAAACAGACACAAAACATCATCTACTTGGGACATCTATTCGTTTATTTGGCTTGAACATAAAATCTAAAGTTATATCTATTTCTTCCTTGATTGGTGCATTCGTTTCCCAAGTACTAACATTAAAGCTACATTTTATGTAAGTCTTTTATCTTTTTCACAAATTCATACGTATCTTTTATGTAAGAGCTAGCTTGCGGTCGCACTTCTCGAATACCTTTTCCTAAGTACTTTGACAATTGATATTGATAACTATCTAATGTAGATATTATAGGACGTACTGGATATTCACCTTTATTAGCTTTTGGAAGCCCATAAAAGACCGAAAGTGATAAACATATCGATTGTAGCTGATAACGAAGTTTATTAACTATCACTCCTTTTTGAAATAATGTGTATATATATATTTATTTAATTTTTCTTCTTACGCACGATGAAACTGATCACTATTTAACTCTTCGAATTGCTCACCTTTTAATATTTCTTCAGCTTTTGTTATGTATGATTCTTTATCTAGTATTACTATGCAACTACCTTTATCTGCTTTACAAATAACTATTTTTTCGTCAGATTTTAACGCTGTAAACTGTTTATCTGATAGATTACAAACGTTCTTACGTCTAGATATACGCATTAGTTGAGAGTGTGGATGTGCGTATCTGATTTAATACCTACACCCATACTCCTACATCCAACAAGATTGCTAATTTTTACCTTTACATTAAAACCTGTCATTACTCTTGGTGATAAAAATTGATTAAATTGTTCTGCCATTGAACTATAGATCTTGCTATTTCCTGATGTAGCAGCCATTACATTTGAATCGTGATCAGTCGAAATGTTAATAAAAATTTCTGTTTGCTCTTCTGACCAGTTTCTGCTACGCTTCAATTTTGTTTTGCCTGTACAACGCGATAAATGTTTCTTTTTTTCACTAATAAAGCAGGGACTTACTAGTTTTCTTGATAGATGTTGTCTGACTGGGAAGAAGGTGAATAATGTCGCTTCATAGACGTTGAAGACGATGATGACAGCATGATTTTTGTACACTTTTCTCTGCTTTATCAGAACTTCTTTCTGTCAACCATTAGAAGTAGAATGGATGAGACGACATATTTCATACCACTGTACTGATACTGAAGACAAATCATTATGTTATGATGACAGATAACTCTACAAATAAGAAATATTTATTCTAATAGTGAATGAATGTAACTATACTACTCGTGCAACGTCCATACATCGTTCTCACTCATTTCTAGATAATATTCTATTGTTGTAGAAACTGTATAGTTTCTTAATCGTCGTTTGACTTGGCTCAATTCTAAACTTGCTTTGTTCTGTTGCTGATTGAAGTGAAGATTTTTTCGTCCTCAATGAAATTTATTCCTTTTCTGAAATTGTTTTAGATGGATTTTCCTTCTATGCTTTATTTGCTTTTCTTCGCTGAACTTGTTTAGTTTCCCAATCTCTTAATCAATCAATGGCCCAAATTGGATTACTTCATAAAAAACGAAATTGTTCAGTATTAATGGCTGTGGGAAGTGATAATCGCTTGAATATTTGGTCGTTACAACGAGCTTTTCCGGGTTGTACTGGCCTTTATCACTATAATGATAACGAAAATGATATAATAATGTGCGTAAAAGTTATTGATGTGTTTAGTTTTTAAGTTATGTATCATCCTCTGTATTTAGGGTTCCTAACAATAATAATGGTCTGCTCGAACATAATTGGGATGATAATATTATGTATTTTTCCTACTATCCTGATAATATCAAATGAATTCAACAAGCATCGGATTGTCATGAATATTGAATACTCTTAGATGCTCGTTCTAACTCGCGAACATCATCCTCATCAATGAATTTTTGGTGTCGTTTTTTGGTCGTTGCTACTGGTGAGTAAATGACTGTTTTACTTTGAAACAGACATTAAAATTGAGTCAGATACTGATCTAATAATAATTATTTAACAAAAAGGATTCTTGTCTACTACAACTCACCGAAAACTGCAATAAATAAATGTAATTATTTTAGTAAGTATTTTATAGTTGAAGATTTATTTATCAATAGATGTAGTATTATTATTGTGCTTTTATCTAACTGTATGTTACTCATAGAAATCTGTTTTTGCTTGTGCTTCAATGTATTTTTAAGTGCTTATACTTTTATAAAGCAAAGAATATGTAAATATTTTTTTCTCTCGCTTTAGGCTCTACTTTTTTATGGATCAATTCGTCGGTTTCTTCCTTTTGGGTGAACTTATGTGACGATTCAGTTGAACATGTGTACTCGAATATGTATGTGGGTAAACTTTTAGAGTGGCGTTTTTTGTATTTCTCTATAGTTTGTTATTTGTCTTGTTAGTAACCTTCTTTTCCAATCCTATTATTGAAAGCATTCGAAGACCATTAAGGAGATCGTATGAAGAATTTGATTCGGGTGTGGGTGTGGTCCTTGCTCTTATCTCAAGCTCACACCTACACCCACACCCTAGTTTTAGAAAAATGAACAAAGCTTTTTCATTACTTGAAACTATGATACATTATCACAATGAAAAATACCATGACAGTAGTGTATTTTCGATTTTTCATTGGTGCATGCTCCAAAAGTGCTATTTGATTAAACACGACAATAGGCCAGTAAGAACATTACGCTACAAAATGTTTTATTAGTAGCTTCATTTCAGGCAAACGAGTTAGTCGATTGGGGGAACACTGTGCAGGGACTTGGAATTATTAATATTATGTATAAAAATGTGAACATAAAACGCCATTGTGTTCTTGAGAACTATAATGAAGTTTTACAAATCAACATGGTAATTTTTTCACCCGGTGCAAATCCATATCTTAATTTTATAAATTTTTAATTTTTAGTGTAGCTAACATCATGCACATGAAACCTTTTTAATAAAAAAAGACTATCTTAATGAAGATGGGTATGTTAATAGGTTAGAATAATAACTAAATATACTTTTCTTTTAGGAATTTAAAAGGAGATGTTATTGGTTCACTTGTTGGTAAACTAAAAAAAGAAATATCGATTTATTACGACATGGAATTAGTCAAAGCTGATAAAGAAAAAAAGGGTGGAGTGTGTGTGTGAGATAAGAGCAAGGGTCACACTCACCCTTCATGTCAATTCTTAAATTATACTATGATCGTATCATACAGATTTTACATTTTATATTGACCTAGATCAATTCCATATAATCATCGAAGAATAAATTATTGAGTTTGAATGACATCTATATAGAGCATTGTCATTGTATTAGTGGAGATTTCATTCCATTCCATTGTGTATTTTTGTTTCCTTGTACGCTTTTATTGTTGTTTCCTGATCGTTTTATTCATTTAATGGCTCACATACGTATTTTTCATGAGAAACGAAATTACTCAATATTAGTGGCTGTAGAAGATGATAATTGCTTGAGTCTTTCGTCGTTACAACGAGCTTTCCCGGGTTGTACAGGCCTTTATCACCATAGTGATAATGGAAATGATATAATATTGTGAGTAAAAGTGAATCATATGGTTATCTTCAGAGTTATATAGTTATGCTCTTCATTTAGGGTGCCGGGTAATAATAATGGCTGTTTTCAGTGTGAGTGGAATTATGAGATAGCATATCATCCATATTATCCAGGTAATATTGAAGGAACTCAACAAACATCTGAATTTTATGTATATTGTATACTATTAGATGCTCGACCGAATTCACTCACATCATCATCATCTAGTTTTTTTCGACAGTTGTGTGTTACTGCAGCTGGTAAGTAAATGACTGTTTAACTTTGAAATCGACACTAAAATTGGGTCAGATATTGATCTAACATAGTTTATTTAAATAAAAGGATTCTTCTCTACTACAACTCACCGAAAACTGGAATAAACAAAGAAATTTGACTTTTCTAGTAAGTATCTTTTTGTCGAGTATCTATTTGTCAATAAACGCACTGTGAAAATTGTGAGTTTCTCGTGAAAATCTGTCTTCATTAATATTCTAACCAATTTATGTTTTCTGTTTTTGCTCATATCTTTCATAGAGCAAAGAAAGTGTGAGATCTATCTGAAGTAGTTAGTGTATTTGCTTCATCGACTGTTGCTTTTAATATAGATCTAAGTTCGAAAACTAACATATCTGTTATTCTCTCGTTTTAGTTATCATTCATGTGTGATGCCATCAATTTTCTGTTCGTTGTACGTTTTTAACAAGTAACCAACGTTGGTAGCCTACGGTAGCATGTTGCTTTTGATTATGATGACTCACCGGTCTTCTTATCATAATCATGGATATATAATATATGAATAATACTGTAGGTGCGGGTTTTCTATGGATCACCTCAGGTATATCATCACTATGGGTTAATATCCATGATGATATATTCAAGTATAAGTACTTGTCGGTTCCTGATGGCAAAGTTTTGGCATGGAGAGTAGTTTTAGTCTCGTTTTATAGTTTGTTGTATGTGTTGCTCGTCTCTTGTTTTTCCGTCCCCATAATTAAGATCATTTGGCAAACGCTGAGACAGTGGTATGAAGAACTTGATTTAGAATATTTTTCATTTGATAACACATTACGTCAACAGAAATAATTATGTTTATTTGATAATTATTTTTTTCTCCTTGATTCTCTAAATAAAAACTGTAAATATATAACAAAACCAAATCCATAAACATATTGATATAAATCATATGACATCGTCGAACCATGTAAAATAAGTGTTATCAAAATAAATATCAATCCAAAAACTAATAAAACTATAGTTATAGCTGATATATAAAAATGAATTTTGTATTTATATTGATTAAGTAATATATGTGAAGAAATTAAAAGTAAAGCTATACTAAGTGTACAAGCAGTAATTGTTGGTCATGATATAAGATCATTTGTTACTGATGAATAATCACATTTACATGGATTATTAGGAAGATTACATAAACGATGTTTTTCATTATCATATGTTCTCTTTTTCGTAGAGAAGAGTCTTGCAAACATAAATTGTTTGCTTGCTTGATTGTTTGTGTGTCCGCAGGGTCGAAAGAACATCGAATCTGATGTTAGTTTTTTGAAATTTTTTTACACAAAGGACCACTCTTTTTACAAAAACATTTTCTTTTATAAGGGTTGACCGAACGATTGTCAAGCTCGTGGAATTCAAAGCTGAAGTCAGTTTTTGAAATTGTTTGAATACATAGTTTACTGGTAGCGAAGACATATCGGTTCTACGAGAAAGAACTGAGTGAGTCTTCAGACGAGCGTTACTTGTTAAGTTTGATGTTATATTAAGTATTATGTTTAAAAAAATAAACGAAACGAAAACGCTGTTTTCTTTATATTTCTCTGGGTAAACTATGGTTGGAAATATTCTATCTATTAAATTATATTATGCTGCATAATTTCATTCATCTATTATTTTATAGAAACTTCTCATTATATTTTGTATGACAAAAATAATTCACTGCCCTGATTTTGCTTCAGTAGATAAGCAAAAATAACATGAAAAAGATGTGCTAATAGTTCAAACATGTTCAGTGGTTCATATAGCAATTATTCAAATTAACAAGATATATTTAATTTCTACTGCAACATATACATTTTTATTAAAATATCAAAATAAGTAAATTACGACATTCTAACTTAGAGTTTAGTGAGAATAAGAATTGTCATTCTTCTACCAACGAATTAACGCTCGAATATTGTGAAGCAAATATTCTCTTATTTCATGATTACGTTTAAACAAATTTACAACATCAATCAAGATAAACAGCTGGGCCCAAACGATAGCAACACGAACAAAGTTTGGATCCAGAGAAATAAAAGAAGTAACAATCATGATCACATAAAAAGGTGTCCATCCACCGAGAAAGATTAAAAACATAAGAACCATTTGTTGTAA